CTTGTTTTTTTTTTTGTTTTGTTTTTGTTTTTTACATAGCCTCGAAGGTATTTGATGGTGTTGTCCATAAACGACAAGATACTTCCTAATTAATAGTGGTAATCATTTAATACGCGCTTACTCTGTTCATTTATATTGTTGTATTACTTAATATTAATGGATACGAAGCGTTCAACAAGTATTCATGCACGAACGTTTTAATTCTTAAGTTTTTTGTATAATAAATCAAGTGACTTTATTTATAAGAATGCAACTGCAATGTCTTCCGATGACGTTGCAGCAAGCCGAAAGAGTATTTTGATCTCTTAAAACGGTAAAACAATTCCAGAAGAAATATAGTTTTAATGTATATAAATATATAAATGAAAAATATATATATATATATATATATATATATATATATATTATATCTATGTAAAAGACATTGTATTCAATGTGAAGAATTTGGGGAGGGGGCGGCGGAAAAAAAAAATGTGAATTCGAAAGGTTGTACGTATTAAAGATTAATTGTGTAACTTTTTTATCTGTAATAGCCAATAGATTAGAATGAAAAGAACACAATTTAGTTAATGATGAAAAAGTTGACGCGATTGAGCTTTATGATATAAAAAAACCACTGGGAAATTTTGTAATTCAATTTGTCGCTTTCGCCGACTGTCATTTTCCTTTTAAAGTTTTTAAATAATAAATTACAAATTATTCAAAACGAAATTCATGAGGAATTATAGCTTATTAAAGTAAAAATAATAATAAATAATAAATCCAGTGCACCGATAAATCCAATATTAAACACTGCCTATACGTGAATTATAAGATCGAACTGGCCGATGATCATATATTGTTCCATGGCGGATTAACGGTCGAGTTTCTGACGAAAATTTAGCGTCGTTATAAGTAATACGCTTCCATTTACTATTATTTTTGCAATGCAAGTTAAGCAGCTAAAACACAAAATGAGTATGACGTACGCGAGCGTGAATAAAATAAATTGTACGATTTTTGTAAAAAAAAAAATAAAAAAAAAAAAAAAAAAAAAAAAGAAAGAAAGAAAGAAAGAAGAAAAAGAAGAAGAAGAAGAAGAAGAAGATATTTAATAAACATAAACGAAAAATAAATAATATTATATAAAGAAAATGAAGAATTTTCAAAGTGGGTGAAGAAGTTGTGTATATGCGAAACCTATAACGCGTTTATAGGAAACGTGTTACATAATTATAATGTGTATACAAGGGGCATAAGCCAATGAATATGTGATAGTCAACGGTAATAATACAATTGTTTACACCTTCACCCATTTTTCTTATCGACCTAATGTTAGGATACACTACACTCTATGTAATTTTCCTTTTTTTTTTTTTTTTTTTTTTTTTTTTTTTTTTTTTTTTTAGAAATAAATTAAAATCCTTACTTATTGTATTCTCTTGTTTATTTACAATATATTGACTAATAAGGCACAATTTCCTTTCCAGACTGTTAAAACAAACATTTCTTCTGCCGATGTATTCCACAAAGTGCACGTTTGTTTACAATGAGTTTATTATCATTTAATTTCAATTCACTTGAAATAATATTTATGAGGCAATATGACACGCGAACATAAATTGTCTTTTAATGTTTATTTATATTCATCGTTCAGAGTAATTTTTCTTTTAAAATAAATATAGTTTATTCTTCAAATATCTAATAACTAAATATGAT